CCACAAAAGTCTGTTTTCCAAGGAAGTACTTATCCTCAAGAACAGTGAGTGTAGCACCCTAAGCATCATGAGATTAAAGAAGCTTTTGCATCTCTGACTATTCAGGTTAGGCAGTAGCAGTATGAAGTTCCTGAAATTATAGAGGCTAAATTTCTTTTTCTAATTTGACTTTGCTGTTGTACAGTAAAATTCACTGACAATTTGCCTTCTCCTAGTGAAGGCAGCAAAGCTTCTGTGTGATCCATGAAGGAAGAATGACTAAATGCATTGCATACTTTTTAATCAGTAAATATGATAGTCGTCAGATAATGACGTGACTATTTAGGCTTACACCTATACCACAAAAAAAAAAAAAAAAAGTTATGAAAAGGAGATTACTCATTTTCCTGTAGAGCTGTTGGACCTCTGTTGGCAATTCTGAATGTTTGCTATGGTTTTTTATGGTTCTAAGCAGGAGGTTTTAGGAGTGGCATGAAAAACAAGCCTCTGACTGGAATTTTGGGATATAAAGTGGTGGGTTTAGGTTTTTGTAGGTTTTTAAAAAGTCTTTGGATAGAATAACCATCCATCTCTTAACTTTCTTGATTAAGGTGATAAACACTTGTGCTTTTGTTCCACTGCGATCCCTTCAGTTGTCACAGAACATAATTTTGGATAAGATCTTACCAGAGCCCAAATAATTTAAAGCTGCTTCTCTTAGGAATGCTTTCAAGTGATAGTTTTAGAAAACTAGTTGATGGGAAGATGGTGTTGAAATCTTGGGTTATCAGAATCTTCCATATCATTGTGGCTTCAATCATCAATAATTCAAAATAATAAAATAGTAAAATATCAAAATAGGGATTTTTTTTTTTAGCTTAAACAAAACAGAAGTGTCGAGTCAACAAAATAATCACAAATACACTGGTATAAGAGGAAACCTTGCTGTTAAACTCAAGTAGAACTGCATTCTTAAAGGCTTTTAGGATACTCTTGGAAAAAGGATCAATTTTGCAGAAAAATACATTGTGCTATACCTATTGTTCTAGGCCTTATTCCAAGCAGCAGAACTGAGTGACTTTCCTGGTTTGTATTGTTACTATAATTGTTATTGTTTTATTTGGATAATATTTTCTGTTTCCTTTTATGTGACTTTGAATAAGAATGGGCTTAGTTTATGTGTGTTGTATTAACTGTGAAAGAAACCTTTTCCCAGTAGTCACACACAATCTGTAAGGTGCATCAAACACTCAACAAAGGAATGTTCTACTTGGAATAATTACTTCATAAGGATGTAATGTATCTCAGTTTGAGTTTAATCTGCTGTATCTGCTCAAGGTACTTAGCTAAAAATTTGCTGTAAAAGGGAACATTCTATATTCAGCTGTGGTTGCTGTATACTCAGTTCCACCTACTAATTTCCAACCATAAGTCTCAGCACAGCCTCTTTGAATAGGGCAATATGATTTTAAGCAAAACACTTAGTGATATCCTTGGTCCTGGAAACTTTTCAAGATGGTGATTCTTTGATATTTTGGTAAGTAAAGCAGTGTGGGAAATCTTGTGGTATTAGCATTAATCATCTTTTGAAGACTAAGACATATCACTGGTCTGAGCATCAGAGCATTAATTCCTGCTTCAGTGGCTTTCTTAATTTCTTAAAATACTGATTACTTAGATTAATAAATGCAAACCAGTGTAATATTTTTCTATTAATAAAGAAGGAGATAGCACACCCATATATCATGAGATAGAGTCAGTTTATGATACTAATTTTCAACACCAGCTATTATTCTATGTGCTAATTCCCTGTAAAGAAGGGACAACAAGTAATCTTTAAAAAACTTTGTTACAAGTAAGTCCTCTTCAAGTGTTACAATTGTGTGGACCACAATAAGGAAAAGGATCACATTTCCAAAAAACAAAAGCCTTACATTTTGGAGAAGACAGAGGTCATGTTTCAGAGTCAATTATATATATACAGTTTTAAGAGGTTCTGTGTGAAGGAAATTCAAGCAGGAGATAATGTTGATAGCCAGGCCATTACTGGGTACCTTCTGTTGAAATAAGGTCACGCATAGACTCCTACATGTACCAAAGTTTTGGTTTGCCTCAGGAGTTTTGTTCTTTTGCTAAAGAGCAGAAGAGCATCTTTTTTATTCTAAAGAGAAACTGCCTCCTTTCAAATGTGTGCATCTATTTCTGCTTGGTTGCTCAGCCTATTGCAGTTATTGAAGTCTCTTGTGCAGCCCAGCCAGAGCAATTTGGGGGGAAAAAAGGTAATACTGTCACTTTCTGTAATTTCTAGACCAATAAAATAAAAAATATCTCTAGTGCAGTATAATAATATAGGAAAAGTACTTAGTATTGCTTTTAGGGACATTCACCATTAAATAGGGCTTTTATTTTAATGTTAAAAATATACTTTCCCTAAGTATTTCCAAATGGCCCGTTGTGCTAAAAGAAAAGATCGTAGGGTATTTGCAAGATCAGAAATTTTTGTGTCTATTGAAAAGCTAACAGCAGTATAATTTTGATGGTATTTCGGAAATATCTCAGACTGTGACCTGTGATACTTTGAAAGAAATTTTCATTAAATATTAAGTGATGTTGCAGGGGTTTTATATTGCTTTTTTTTTTTGTATGCTTCCTATAATTTGCCTTCTACTTGTTGTAAGCCAGAGAAATTATTCAGAAGTAGCTAGTAATGTCCGTATAACTGTTAAATTCATCCACAGCCATTAAAACACCCTAACAGTGGGCACTCCCATTGTGCTGTTCTCACCCATGGAAAAAAGTGCAATTTGGAAAATAATTATATTCTCTTGTTTCTGTTGCACTAGGGGTCCAATCTTTTGTATTCTTAAAGTGATTTTACTCCCGGTGAAACTGGTGATGCTCCCTATTCTTAAGTTACAGTTTCTTAACCTTAAGAAAGGTTAGCCTTAACCTTTCTTAAGCTCTTAATATAAGATTTTCTTAGATAAGCCCTACCTAGATGAAATTTAAAAATAAGTAGTACAACCATTAAATCAAAGCATATTTCAACTTTGCTCCTATTCTCTGACATGCTTTATTCGCTTTCACATTTGCATCATCAGCAGGTTTCACAAAGCATTATTTTTTTTCCATCATCAATCTTTCAATAAAACATGAAGTATTATCGCAGCAGAAGAAAACCAAGTCAGGGCATTCATCCTGGATGAAGCAAGATGTGAACTAATCTTTTTTTGAAACTTGCTTTCCATTCAAGTCTGCACCTACCTGATAGTAGATAATTTATAGCTAAATTTTGTCTTTCTAGATTTCTTCTCATGGTGCTCTGACCAGATGTTGCAAAAAGCTTTCTAAGGCAAAGATAGGACATGTATTTCTTCCTTTTGAAATTTCTAATTTCTGTAGTGATTGAAAAAATATGGTGTATTCTTGATCAATCAGTGTAGGCTGTTAACTGCATGTGGATCTTAATTGTATGTGTCTTAGATTCTAGCTGCACACAAGTAGTTTGCTTATGTTTTCTAGTATTTTTGTGGAAAATTTTAGCTAATTAATCTGTAGGTTTACGGTTGATTCTTTTTGAGGAAGATGCATGCAGGTACAAATTTGACTGTAGTAAATGTAGCTCACTGAATATAAATAGTCTGAAGTTAGTGTATATGGTTTTCATAACTTGCAAGTGGAAAGAGGAAAAGAGACTGTAGAGTCAGCACCAGGGAGAAATGGCTCTCTGAACTGTTTTGAATATGTGAGTGAGAATTAAGATTGTTCCATTTGCCCTGATGCCTCTCCTGCAGTGTGACAGAGCTGCAGGAGTTAGGATGTTGCTATTGACAAGGTAGGATCAGAATTTTTGACAGTTTTCTGGCCTACCTATCTTGCTGCTTTTGGCTGTGTTATAGCCCAGTAAATGTGGGTTTTGTTTCAATATTTTGTCAGTGTCATGTGTTGTAGCTCTACCAGTGATATGATATTTAAGTTTAGGCAAGTTATTTTACCTTTGTCTGCCTTACCATTCAGTATTTTTCCTGGAGTTGAGCAGTATGATTTTGATTTTTGGCTTGCAGCAATTGTGCTGGGCCTATGAACAATTCTCAATAATATTAGACTGGTGAGAAGATTCAGGGCTATCAGGATCCCTAGAAACATAAAGCAATGAACTTCTAAGGACTTCCAGTATTTTTGCTCCTGGGACTCGTCATATACCCAGCAGCCCATAGCAGAGACCATTCCTGCCAGTGAAATAATATGTGTCCCTATTTCTTCTTTTGTGGCTGAGATCTTGAGATTTTTTATTTGTGAAATTTTGTCTGTGTCTTAAAAGCTATGAAGGAGTTGATCATGTCTGGCCTAGGCATTAAACAGTTTTCCAGTGACTTTTCTGTTCATGAAATGGTTACTTGCAACCATGAGGCCTGGCTGCTGTTCCTGTGCTCCAGATAAACAGGAGAGTCACATACCAAAAACATACATGCTTAGTTGTTATATCCTCTGATAGCTGATTCTGAAACTTGCTCTCTTGAACCCTACTGAGAGACTTTTCCACAAGGGAAAATGTTAATGTTATAATAGGTAAAAAATTAGTAACTGTTGGTGGCTTAAAATGAAGATTGATTCCAGTTATATGGTGGCAGTGATAAGAGAGTAGGTAACCATGCTACTGTGACATACAGAGTTGTGACTTGCAAAATTGTATACAAAGCAGAGAACTTGATGGCTTTCACTGACTGATCGCATTCTGATAACACATTCAAACTAGAGCATTTTGCATGTATGTTTTCTTTATAAAATGGGAGAGAGTTGGCAGAAACCATTTATGCTATTGTGAGAACTGCTGCTCAAAAGAGAATGGACCTCCTGCATCTTTCCCACTTTTTCTTCTTTGTCAGAATCATATGGATGAGTATTTCTAGTAGTCACAATATCTTTACTATTAGTCATTTGTATCCTGTAGAATAATGTTACTGTTTGCTACCATCTGTAACTGCTTAGCATGTTCTTTCTATTCTTGTCTTCATTTTTAGCTGCACATCATTGACCCCAGGACCCAGCTGCGATCGTTTTAAGCTACATATCCCTTATGCGGGAGAAACACTCAAATGTAAGTTCAAAAATCTTGCAGCTGCATCTTTGCTTTTCTTTCAGTGTTCTGTGTCTCGCTAATTTTCCAGTGTGTCTGACTTCATGAGTTTTGAGATACATGTGTTTGTTGTTTTCTCTTAAGCTTCAGTTCCAAGAACACACAACTGTCAAGAATATGTAATATTTAAGATAGGTTTAAAGGCTTCTGTGAGACTACAGTTTTGAAAAATGAGTACTAAAAGCCGAAAGTCACAACCTATACAGCTTACCCCCCAGGTATTTCTAATAAAATGTTATGTCTAAGACAATCTTATGACTGTTTTTAAATTCATTTATAAGATATGTATGTTTTGTGTTGTTTCTTTCTGTCTCTTTTAGGAGTAATTCTTTATTAAGCTCCAATATAAGATGCTATAAGCTCCAGTAAGATGTTATTCTGCTATTTTATTAGGTATCTTTAAACAATTGACCAGATTAGAGAAATGTGAGTTTGATTTTTCTGATTTAGTGGTATCGCTAAATCATCTTTATGCTTAGAGAACCTGTAGACAGCTAGTTCATTGCCCACTCTTAGTGTGTGTTCTGTTTGTCTTAGTTTGTGTGTTGTTTCAAAGGTTTAAAATAAAATTTGCTTTTGTATATTTTTAGAAGGTAACATTTTCTAAACACTTGAACTGCTGAAAAATAGTTGTGTTGTTTTTATCTCTAACAACTGAAAAATGAAAGAGGTTGAAGAATTTCAAATACAGTAAAATTCAAAGCTTGGAATTTATAGTTTTTGGGCAAGTCTAGTAAAGCCATGCCTAAAGTACTATATCCAGTTCTGGTCTGTCTGTTACCAGAGCAACATGGAGATATTGCCAGGAGTACAGCAAAAGACTACAAAGATGACCAAGAACTGGAGGATTCGTTGTATGGGGAAAGGCCAAAATAGCTGGGGCTTCTTAAGAAAAGAAGGCTCAGGGCAAATCTTACCAATGTTTATGAATACCTGATGGGGATAAATGAGGAAGCCTGGCTCTTCTCAGTGGCAGTCACCAAAGGGAAACAGTCACAAATTGAAATGTAGAAAATTCCATTCGAACACAGTAACAATTATTTTGCAAGGGTGGTCAAAAAGTGGAACAGATTGTGCTCAGAGCTAGTGTAGTTTGTGTATCTCCATCCTTGGGGCTATTCAGAACCCAGCTGGACGTGACCCTTTAGCAGTCTCCTGTGTTTGCCGGACTCTGAGCTGAGGGATTAGACCAGGCAGTCTGTTATGTTGAGTGTGGAGACAGGAATGTGACAAGAAGGTGCTGAGGTTCATGCAGTAACAGTTTTCATGTATTGTCAGGCAGCTCCCTTTTATAGGGCTTTCAAATTTCCCATGCTTACAGACATGATTGGACAACGGTTTCAAGTCCGCCCAACTCACTGCCCAATGATATGGGTACATCCATGCTTCAAAGGGATTGGCTGAGGTGTCTGTGGAGCTAGGCTAGTTTAGATGATCCCTGTTAAGCCGAATTATCTGTGCAGCTTATAGACGAGCTATAGCTGTCATAAGTCTCCAGTGGTGCTGATCAGCCTTAGCTATGCTGTGAGTTTGTGAAACTATGCTGTCTGGAGGAGCAGGTACATGGTGTTAACAGAAATGGTAAGCATTTAAACATTAACACTATACTTAGATAGTGTCCCTTTAGGCTGCATCATACACATGCTGTAGCTCTCCAAGACATTTTAAGTACTAAGAATTTTATTCCATTCCTTCTGCAGTTTTTTGGTTTTTTGGTGGTTTTTTTTTTTTTTTTTTTTTTTTTTTTGGTTGGTTGAAAGAGATACATTATGTCATGCACTGGAAGTCCTTATCCTTTATGAATGGAAATCGACAAAATTAAGCTCCTTATATTCTAAAGTACGTTAAAGCTTCATATGGCACCTCTGAGGAAAGTTGTCTTTCCCAGAAGTTAATCAGGAACCCTACTCATGTGTTCAAGAGAAGAGGCAGGCTCATGTATCAGTCTACAATAGCTATTTTGACTTTTCTAAACATATTTCATATAATATATGAAATTATGGCTCAAGAGGCTTACTAATTATTCTTTCTCACAAAATAAAATCAGAAGATTTAAGTCCTAGCTAGTGATTATTTTAAGACAAAAGAAGTGGTTCTGCATTTCTTCAGAAGTCTTCTAAGTAATGGCTGTATTATATGAAGCCAACTGCCCTCCCAGGTTGAACTTTTATGTTAAAAATTGTTAAAATGTGTAATAAACTGAGCCTGTTGAGTCTTGATATGTTCTGCAATGTGTAGTAGATTCCACTTGAATCTTGTTTGATGACTATGATCAAGTCAAAATAAGTTTCACAGGATGACATGCTTTACAGAGTGGTATAATTTTCTGTGGGACCATTTTATCTTATACAGGGCAATGTTTGTATATTCTGAGAGATGTCTTATTTCAAGTAGAGGCTGAAGCTGTTCCTAATTTATAAAGGAAAATGGATAGACTAAAATGTCCATATGCAAGTGCACAGGCATAAAGGCTATGCCTTTATATAAGGCCTATATTCATATAGTGAATGACTGTAGTCCAGTTAAAGTACCTAGAAATATGCATTATATTTCAGTATCAAGAAATCTGGGGGGTTTTTCTCCAGTGTTCTTATATTTTTTATATCACATGCACAATTAAACAAAAAAAAACCCCAAAAACTACAGAGCATGTTATATATTTTAATGAAGAAAACCGAAAACGCTGTAAACAAGTGTATCTTTTTCATAGATTTCTAACAATAGCTGTGAATTCAAGTAATAATAATCCCCCACATTTCAGTAATACATGTTTGAAAATGCTGTGAATCATTAAGTCTCACAGCATGTGGAACAGTGATGTTCAGATTCAAGAAAGCTTTAATAATTTTATGTTTAGATCTGCAATGATGGCAGTGGAAGACAGCCATGGTGTCTAAATGGAGATTTTTAGATACTTTGTTGTAGGCTGTTGCTAGATATGTTATCTTTCAAGGGCAGAATATTTCTGCAAAGGAAAGTTGCGAAATCTGCCAGAATAAGAAGATTGGCTGAAAGTGTTCAGAGTCTCCAGTGAATGGGCTTCAGATATGGTACCAAATACAGGCTGAAGTTTATAGTTCCTTTGTGGTTTGTGTTACATCCTCTTTGCAACAGATTAGGTCTTCATGTGCCATCAATCATAACTGCTGCCACTGCACAGGCACCCTTGTAGCAATCCCAGTGTGTTAGAAACTGTTGGTGTGCAGCTTTAGGAAAGTGTAACTGCACAAAGCAATCCTGTTTTCCAAAAGATGAGAATTCACAGCTTCTTGAAAAAGGAGAAAACATACTTGCAGGCAAGGCTAACTACCTGTAGTGTAAAATAATTGCTTTGTAAACTTGTGTAGGAGCAAACATATGACTTCAGAATGGCTTGTTGGCTGTTTAATTGGGTTTTTTTAAGATGTCATGTTCACGTTACTTTTGCATGTATGCAGAGCTGCTGGAATGTTACACTGAACAATTGCTCAACTCCAGCCAGGGAACTTGGAGATACCCACAATTTTATACTGCAGAAAATACTATGCCAGTGTTCAAGATAAATTAGTTTGTCACAGTAATTGTCTTCCATCACACTTCAAGCGATGCTTTCAGAGAGGCACTTTTACTGTATTTTCCTCTGTAAGGGAAACAATTTTTTTGGTTTGTTTTCATGGTGGGAGTATTTAGAAAACTTGAACCTAGTCTTGCTAGACTGTCAGTTGAAACCTGAGATGGCCATATTGTTTTTATTAGTTCATCCAGTACTCAATGTTGTTGCATTAAACTCCATGCTTTTCTCTGTATTTGAGTTTTTCAGAATTCTTAATTGGAGTTCTAGTTACAGGAAGACTGTCTGTGATACCCTGTAAGAGGTTCAATCTGTGTTTCCAGGACAAAACTTGCTTTGTGTGATATGCAGAGGCATCCTTTATTGCTAACTGGACCATAGTATCTGCTTAGAAAACTTCAGTATTCTTTCTGAGGAAATATTTGTGTATTTTGAGGTGAAGTGTTCTGTAACTCTTGCAGATGTATCAGTCTTAGTTGGTAAAACATCAATGCAGATATCAGCAGAAATTGTCAGAATAAGCAGAGATATAAGCTGCAATTGCCTTTATAATTAAAATATTCCATTTAGAATCAAATTACAGTTTTTTTTCCAGAAAACCTTGGAATAGCTTGGGTTTGGCTTTCCTTTTTCACTCAAGCTTTTGTTGCTACTTGCTAAGGAATCTGACTTTTTTCTTTTTGCTTTTGCTCTTTACATTTTCTTTTTCAGGCACTGATGCCTCCTTCCTTCTCTGACCTTGAGTGCTGTCATCTGGAATTTCACAGTGATTAAACCATGTATTGCCCTTGCAGTGCTACTGTTCTCTGTGGCCTCTTGAATTCTAGTATTTTCATCTTCTGTCTGATTTTCACTGTTTTTATGTCAGTGGATTATAGCTCTGGGTTCTACTGCCACCACTTTGGTTTCCTTGACCTTGACAAACATTTCCTTTGTCTCATTTGAAACTCAGTTTTTAATTTTTTGCTTCTGATTTTTGTTTGTCAGAGGCTTACTCTTTTTAGTTATGGGCCTTAAAGGAGGAAATCAGTCTTGCTGCCTAACCAGTCTAAGAATATTGCCCATAATACATGGTACAAAATTTCTTGGTTTTATTGGTTTCTTGGTTTTATTTTATTACTCTTTCAGTAATTTAATTCCAGTCTTCCTGTGGATTTCTATTTTAAGAAAGTAACTAAGAACAAACAAAAAGATAGAGAACAGCCCGATCTCCTTATTGCCCCTTTAAAAGCTGCTTTTCCAAATTATTTGCTATACACTTGTTTATTGTGCCAATAAACAATTGTAAGAATTATTTTTCAAGTTACTGTAAGTTTTAAGATTCTCATAAATATGTTGCTGCGATGCATGTGTTAATGTTTTTTGCACCATTAGGTTATGTTACACAGGCTGTATTTTGGTTGAGGCTCTT